AAGAGGTAACTATGGGGAGGAAGTGAGAGGGGAGCTGTTGCATTGTGGTAAACTGTGGTCAGTGACATGAGACAAAGTATATGTGAACTGCTGTGTGGAGAGTGAATTTGCTCTGTAAATCTTCACCCAAATCACAATAAAAAAAAATACTACATTAAAAAAAAAGAGAGAGACCACAAGATCTTTCATTAACTGGGAAGGTGTGATCCAGAGAAATAAAGAACTCAACCTCAAAAAAAAAAAAGTTCGATTATACCCAGTATTTATAAGTGTGTAAGAATGCACTCAAATGCTGGAAACATAAATTCTGGTAGTGTGTGTACCAAGGTCAGAACTGACTGCATTGATCCAGAAATTGTACCTGTAAAACTGGATAAACGAAGGAGACAGTCTGTCAGGATAAAATTGCAGGTACGCGGATGGTCTCGTCAGCATCATTTGTTGTCATGAAAAGTGAGAATGCCCCTGCACTTGTCCACTGGATCAAATCACTGGGGAGGAGGAAGTCACTTACGCTACTTCCCTACATTGAAATCCCATGCTGGCATCCACAGGGACAGTACAAGTCTGTACTGAGCATGTATTTTACCAGTGAAGCAGAGCAGCTTACCAGAACGGGTACAGTGTGTGCATGTATTCATATCCATACGGATGGCCGTGCTCATACACTGTATGTATACGTACAGTCCAGGGGAACTGTCTGTCTGAGACTTGGAAACAGCTTGGCCTATTTATGTGTGACTGCTTTGATCAGTCTTCCATGCAGCTTTGTGTGTGATCACTGCAATTAGAGGATCTTTCCTTGCTGTTTGCAGGTAGTAGGTAGGATGCTCTGTGAATTGATCAGCTTTTCAGTGCACCTGCTGAGAGTGTTTTCTTGTTCTTTTGCAGCCCTCCACCAAGTCCCTCAGGAACACTGACCATTACTTCTGGGCATGCCCAATACCAGTCGGTCCCAGTCTATGAGATGAAGTTTCCAGATCTGTGTGTGTATTGAGTGGCTCGTGAAGACCTCAGTGTAGTATTGTAAAGCCTGAAAATTAAGGCCAAGCTGAGTTTCAGGGTTTATTTAACGCATATTAACATATTCTTGAAAATAATGATGGCATCTACCTGAGGAATGCTCTGCATTTCTGCTAGAAATTCTGGAACTATCTGTTGCTTAGAGTACTTCTGAAGATAGATTAGGTCATATTAATTTCTTTTGAGGTTCCAGTTGGTTTTTAAAGTTGGACATATATTGGTCTTTCATTGTCTCATTGTTAAATAATATATTTTAAACTTTTCACAAACATGTAATTTTAAAAAAAAAAGTAAGCCTTCAGAGGATTAAAAATTTGTGAAGTGAGTACTGTGTGTCTTAAATGTCTGCACAACTGCTTAGACATAGAGTTGCTTTTTGGTCACCTGCAGAAGCAAGTGCGTACAAGTGCCCTGCTAATCCCAGGGCTGCAGGACACATGTGTGGCTTTTGTCCCCGCGCTGCAGCCAGGTCATAAGCCTCCCTCTGTGTGTTTACTGTAAGAATACGTGGTAGGAATTCCTTGACTCGTTACGGTATTAAGACCGTAGTATTAATAGTATTCCTACAGTATGACCCTAGAAGCCGCTACACTTTAGAGCATTTGGGTCTTGTAAAACCGTTACCTGCCGAGCATTTGACCGTTCTACGTGAGGGGCTTAGCGCTCACTCTTAGAGTACCGAGCTGTGCAATATTTTTTACATCATGAGATACTAGTTTACAGGCTATGCTTTAAAATTATAGTCGTATTTTGCTGTGGCTTCATTAAGTAAATGAGATATATATTTAGTATAGAAAAGAAAAAGACATTTTGAACAGCTACTCATTCACCTGTAAAAAGAGTCTGCTCATACCTGTTTTCACTAAGAGCACATTAGTTTACATTTTACCATTGGGTGTTGTTTTAAATCCTTATAGTGAAAAACTTCCCCAAGTGGATTTTTCATTTGTAAGATTTAATGGTAACTTGTACGCATCTCTGTTCAGGGTTAGTTCTGTGGCATTTGAGGAGTGCCTATGGGTTTAGCGGTTATGTTTGCTAAGGACCATTTCAGTTCAGCTTCGGCTGATGGAAGCTACAGATAATGTGTACGTTTTACACAGGCGTTGACCCACCTATAGTGTTTTCTTAAGAGTACATACATGTAGGTGAATTCCATGGCCCAGGAGAAATGAACTTTTTCAACTCATAAAATTCTCAAGAATTTTTATAAAGTCACCTGTCTATAATCCTGCCTTTTCAAATTAGATTTCTTTTTACATAAAACAGTTATAAACATAAAACAAATTCTAGCTAAAAACCGATTCTATTTTTGGCTTTTATTTTTGTTTGGAAAATTACATTGAAGAGTAGGAGGTTATAACCTGCACTTAGGATGATTTGATGATTTAGGGGAAACAAAAATGGGAGAAGGTGATAATACTCGACGGTTTTTGAATATTTAAACCAAAGGACCCTGTTCTCTTGAAACATCTTGAAGGACAGTCTAGTCACCTAAGTCCATAAAATGAGGCTGACATCTCCTGGATGACTCATTAAGTGTAACTCAGCAGGATCTCACCACCTGCAGGCTGAAGAGCCTAGTGCGGCCATCATGAAACGTCACCTCCTGGTCACGTAAAAGGTTTCCCCAATTTGTAGGCCAAGTTTAACTTTAATTTTTTTTCTTTTTTTCTTCTGTGTTTTTAAAGAAGGATATTCATTTTTGACTGTTAATTGTTTGAAAAATCTGAGCAGGGGGACGTGCACAAAGAATCATCATCCACTTGGATGTCATTTTATAGATTAACACTGTGTGCTTTTGTATGGAAATAATGTAGTTTACTAGCATAAGAAGAGAAAATAGCTATCATCTGCACTCACGCAAACACAAACGTCGCTGTATGGAATTCCATGTTTCTCTCAGATTTAAAAGACCATGTAATGCCCATAAACGAAAACCATTATATTGTAGTCACTGTTGGTCACACTGTTCTCCTGGTTTGTTTGTAAACTGTTGATTTGAGGGTTTTTTGGGGGGGAGGTTGGGAGGAAGGTAGGTTGGTTTGCTTTCATTCACAGTAGACTTCACTATATCCTTGCTTACGGAACTGGTCTTGTTAACAGTGATTCCTGAGGAATGGGTCTTGTGTTTGTCTTCCTCCTTATGTGGATACAGGAGATTCTGCAGGTAATGGGTATGCATACTGTATCGTACTCTGTTTGGATTTTGGAAGTTTTAAACTTGGATTTGTTGAAGTTCACTGTATTGCTTTATTTTTTTCACAGCTATTTAAAACTCTTAATAAACTATTCATTATTCTCTTTTTTGCTGTATACAGTTGTGTATGTCATTTACTTTTTCCTTGGTATTGGATAGTTAACATTTAAATATTCCTACTTTCTGTGTTGTGTGTGAGTCCTTATACAGAGTTTCATTGTCATTGGAGTTGATCTGAACACACAGGTCTATACTTCCTTAATACTTCAGACCTCACTGTCTCTTAGAATAGTACTACTACATTGTGCCAGCAAACTTCCTCCTCCCCAAAATACTGCTCCTTTGCCATCTGAAAATGGAACTAATTTGCCTTATGCATGCTGATACATCTAGTGTTGTGGATTGAATGGTATTTCCCCAAATGTGTGTCAGCTTGGCTGGGCCGTGGTTCCCAGTATTGTGCACTTCTCCTCCATTTTGTGATGTGTTGTAAATCCTACCCTCCATGTGTTAATGAGGCAGGGTCAGTGTGAGTATGTCTTGAGTGACAGCCTTACAGACAGGTGAGACTTAAGTAATGCCCTTGCTCAAGTCACACCTTTATCATTCAAGAGATAAAAGGAGAAAGAACCAACAGGGAACAGAGGGACCTCACTCCTACCAAGAACACATCTTTGGCCTGGGGTCCCTGTGCTGAGAATCTCCTAGACCCAGGAGAAGATTGATGCCAAGACACATGAAAATCTCCAAGGAACGCTGGGCCCACAGATGTTGAAAGAGGACAGGGACTTTCCCCCAGAGCTTGCACCCTGAATTTGGACCTCCAGCCTCCTGTCACTGAGGAACAATCGTGTATCTATTTGAAATGAAAGTGAATATTTATTGAGAGCCAAGGCAGCTTGAGCCAGGGACACACTGTATCTCACAAAGTGAAAACCAGAGCTCCACTGGGCTGTAGTCACAAATAATTTTATACAGTAAAACTAGGAATGTTAGGGTGCAGTATTCTGATTGGTTGCTAAGCATTTAGGGAAGTGAGAGGACATCTGGAAGTGCAGCTTTTTTGTGATTGGCTCATAGAGGAGATCTGGAGTTACTAGATTGACTTGCAAGAAATTTCTTTCTGGGACCACAGAGATCAGATACGCCATTTGTAGTAAGGCTCCTTGGGAACAAGTTACCAACATTCTTGATTGCAAAGAAAACCATTTCCTTAGATACAAGATGAAGTCAGTACCAAGGTTAACTGTCGCTAAGACAAAAGCAGAAGTTACGATCTAGAATTGGGGCCCAAGCCTGAAGCAACCATTTCAGATATGCCAGGCACCTGAAGTTTTAAAAGCCCCTGCACATTCCTAGGGAGCTCTGGTGGTGTAGTGCCTAAGGCATTTGACTGCTAACCAGAAGGCTTGCAGTTCAAACCCACCAGCCACTACCCAGAAGGAAGATTGGACAATCTACTTCCATAGTGATACTGCCTAGGAAACCCAATGAGGGGTCGCTATGAGTTGGATCTGACTTGATGGCAAGGAGTTTGGTTTTGGTTTGGTTTACACATTCCTAAACTGAGGAAATAAATGTCTGTTTGTTAACATCGTGCACTTGTGTTATTTCTGTTACAGCAGCACTAAATAAGTAAGACATGCAGTAAATGTAATGAAGTAAGTTTTTTTTTAATGTAAATTCACTGTGCAGTTCATATGAGAGCGATAAAAAATTTAATTATTGGTGGTGGTGGTGTTATGTGCCGTCGAGTCAAACCCGACTCATAGCGACCCCTCCTTGGGTTTCCGAGGCAGTATCACTACGGAAGTAGGAATGCCCAACCTTCCTTCCGAAGAGTGGCTGGTGGGTTTGAACCGCCAGCCGTCTGGTTAGCAGGCAAGTGTCTATAGCTACATTTTTTTAAGCCACGCTGGTGGCGTAGTGGGTAAGGCATTTGGCTGCTAACTAGAAGGTTGGCGGCTCAGACTCACCAGCTGCTCTGCAGGAGGAGGAGGAGGCAGTCTACTTCCATAATGATTTACGGCCTTGGAAACCCAATGGGTCACTGTGAGTCAGAATCAGCTTGATGGTGGTGGGTTTGGTTTAACTATGTTTTTAAAATGGCTACCGTAACATTTATTGAATTACTCCATATTTGCATTAGTTAAAAATGAAGTGCTTTAGTGACAATGACGTTGCCAAGTGGATTCATTGCCACATGCATTGTCGGAACCATAAGTGACAGCCATGATGACACAGCTAAGGAAGGGCCCACCGTGTGTGTGTGACACAGTGCACTTGTCATCTCACCATCCATCTGAACAATGACATTTTTGACTTGACATCCACTTTCTTGCTTTAGAAATTACACAAAGCTGCTTTAAACAAGTACCACCCCCAGTTGCCGCCAAATTGATTCCAACACGTGAAGGGCCTGTGTATCTCAGAGTAGAACTGTTGTCTGTGGGGTGTTCAGTGGCCGTGATCTTTCCAAAGATCTGTCTTCCGAGGCACCTCTGGGTGCATTTGAACTGGCAGCCTTTTGGTTAGTAGCTGAGCGCTTAAGCATCTGTATCCGGGAATTCCTTATTAAGTAGCTGTATTCCCCTGTGCTGCCCTGGTTTGATTATTCTTCCACGTGACAGCTGCACATCCCAGGTGGTGGGGTTCAGGGATTCCCCTCACCAGGCAGTGTAGCCGAGCATTGAGGAGCACCAGCTCGGGTCAAATCCAGTCCCACCAATTCCTGCATCGGGGCCCTAGGCAGGGACTGAATGTCGTTGAGCCTCACCTCCTTCCTGTGTAACACCGGCATAGGAAGTGCTGCCCTCGGAGAGCGGTCGGGAACGAATGAGCCACGTAGAAGAGTGGCGCAGAGTGAGCTCTCAGTAAAGGTTTGTCAGTAACCCTGGGGTTCGCCATCCCTGATGTTAGGGACCTGGGCAGCACTCGGCTCTGCGGTCTCGGCCTCGTCCCCACTTTGGGGCCTGTTTCCTGACACACACAGTGAATGGGCTAGGCTGCCCCTCATGCTTGCTTTCCAGCTCATGCTGTGGTGCTGTTACCTGCTCTTTCCTCTGATAGATCGGTGATCTCAGGTACCAAGTGCGAATGGATGAAAAGCTGGGCCAAGGTCAACATCAAGCACTGCCGCATTGGCTTACAGAGGCCTGAAGACTGTCCGTGAATCTTCAGGTGACGGTTCATATGTACAGATGTCGAGCCAGGGGAAAGGCCTGGGTCTGAGCAGTATGGCGGTCATCAACAGGTCATGGAAAGAAGGGAAGTGTGCCTAGGACTGGGCCCTAAGGTACAGCAACATGTCGAGGGACATGAAATAAGGAGAAATAAGCAAAGGAGACTGAGGAAGAGTGGCCAGCAAGGTAGGAGGGGACCCCGTAGGGTGTCATCGCAGACATGGGCAAGGGGACAGAGGAAGGAGTGGTGGCCTTCGGGATGACGCCGAGATCAAGATAAGAGATGGGGAGACGTGCTTAGGAAGTGGACATCACTGGCAACCTTGATGGGCCCTTTCTGTTGAGGATGGGGTTTATCAGATTGAAAGGGTGGCAGTGGGAGTGAGCAGTATTTCTAAAAGTTCGTCAGAAGATGAATAAGGATACAGGTTAGTGCCTGGAGCAGAAAGAGTCGGCAGGCAGAGGTATCTGCACCCCCTAAGCTTCCAGCCTTCGGTTCTGTTGTACGTAGGGTCACTATGAGTCAGGGCCGACTCGACAGCACCAAACAACCATTCAGCTAAGGAGCCCTGATGGTGCAGTGGTAAGCACTTAACTGTTAACCTAGAGGTTACTAGTTCAAACCCACCCAGCTGCTCTGCAGAAGAAAAACCTGGTGATCTGCTCCCCTACAGATTACAGCCTCTGGGGCAGTTCTCTGTTACGTGGGGCCACCGTGAGTCCAAATGGGCTTGACAGCACCCAATGACAACCACCTTTCAGCCACCAGATAAAGCCTGTTTCAAGTCAAGTCCCGTCCCCGGGACAGGGTGATGAAGGATTGGTGCTGGTGGTGGCCGTGGCAGGTGATCCTTTCTCACCCTTGGGCTGAGTGGCAAGTGTATCCTTAAGGTGTGTACTGGAAGAGCCGTTCCCTCAGTCCTTGGAACAAGGCATGTGTCTTTGATGGTGAATTGGTGACCTGTAGTGATCTTCCAAAGTAGAAGAAACAGCAGCTTTCAGTGATTAAGAAGTTGAGATATTTTTCCACCGTTCCTTCTGTCACCTCACTTCTGCAATCTATTCATGTGTCATTATCTACAATTAAACATTTCTTTAAAAAAAAAAAATCCACACAGAGTTGATGGGCTATTTATTGCATTTCCATGGTGCACCACAGGGGGTAGGGAGCTGGCCATCGTCCACCTGCTCAGAATGGATGTGTGAACGGTGCTGCAGGTGGGTCACACTGCATATGGGCAAGGGTCTTGCTACCTCTGTTCCCTCTGAGCCTCCACTAAGGCAGCTGTCATTGTCCCACTGGACAGAGGAGAATGAAACCAAAGAGGTTAAGGGAGAGGAGGAGCTCAACTACCCGGGTGCTTGCCATCTGCTACAGAAAGCTAACTCCCACGGAGTGGCCTGGTGGCCAGGGGACCAAGTGACTTCCACAAGGATCTTCTGGTTCTCAGGGCCTCCGTGAAGGGCGTGCCTTCCTCACTGCTCTCCTCGGAGCTGGAGCCCAGGGAAGTGGCTGAAGGTCCTCCATGTGTGCTGTCCTCACACGGGACCTGGTGGCCCTGGCACTCCTGGGGGCTTGGTGACTTGAGGCTTTGATTAAAGAAGGCAGAGGCCATGCACTCAGCAGCTGTCTGGTCACAGGCACACAGAAACTTCTCACAGAGGCTCTGCCCCCCACCTGAGCAGACAAGGACACAGTAGCAGGCATGAGACAGGGTAGGATAGCAGGAAAGATGTCCTTGACCAGCCTGGCAGCCCCTCTGGCCCTTCCACACTCACCACGGGGCCTTGGCATCTCAAATACACTGACAGCTCTGCTGAGAATATTCTCAGCTTCCTCATTAACTCAAGACTTGGGTGGCCATCTCTTCCAGAAAGCCTTTCCTGAGCCCCAAGGCTAAATTTTGTCTTTCCTGTGGGCTCCCCTAGAACCCCACGTTACGGTTCTTACAATCATGGTGGGTTCTGGGGTGATCACACTGTACAGTAATCATCTGTCTAGGTCTCCACCTTGTCATCTAGCTGGATGGAGAACCTTGATGACAGAGACTCTGTCTCTAACATGTAACTCAATCCTTGACAGATGTTTCCCTAGTTAGTACTCAGGAAATTCTGGTTGAACTCTCTCGTTCCTTCTCAGGATCAGTTTCCCCACTCATCTGATGGAAGTAATAATATCAGGAGCTCCGGTAGCATAGTGCCTAAGACACTTGACTGCTAACCAGAAGGCTGGCGGTTCAAACGCACCAACCACTCCTCGGAAGGAAGGTTGGGCAATCCTACTTCTGTAGTGATACTGCCTCGGAAACCCAAGGAGGGGTCACTATGAGTCGGGACCGACTCGATGGCAAATAACAACAACAACAACATTATGAGAATACTGGAGAAAATGCAGGATGACTGTTTAAATTTGAATTTCAGATAAGTAATAAGAGTTAGAGTTAAATATGTTCCAAATAGTGCATGGGGGCATACTTAAACTGTAATTCTATTTGTTGTTTTTCTGAAATTCAGCTTCAGCTGGCATTATGTATTTTCATTTGCCTAAGGCATTTGATAGGAACTCTGGTAGCGTAGTCCCTAAGGCACTTGGCTGCTAACCAGAAGGCTGGCGGTTCAAACTCACCAGTCACTCCTCAGTAGGAAGGTTGAGCCATCTACTTCCGTAGTGACACTGCCTCAGAAACCCAAGGAGGGGTCGCTATGAGTCGGATCCAACTCGACAGCACATAACAAAGGCATTTGACTGCTTATGAGAAGGCTGGTGGTTCAAACCCACCAGCCACTCCTTGGAAGGCAGACTGGGCAGTCTACTTCCACAGAGATACCACCTCGGAAACCCAAGGAGGGGTCACTTTGAGTCTGAATCGACTTGACAGTAGTGAGTTTAATAGTTTTGGTTTGGAAACGTGGCAACTCTACCCCGTTTTCTTTAATGGTTAAGTGGTGTGGGCGTAGGAATGGGGCTGTTTGTGTGACTCGCGTGAAATAATGTGTGTGAAGGTGCTTAGGCTAGAGAAGCTGTCTGCTGATATCTTCCTCATTTGTATTTTTCATTTGAAATGCGGCTGAAGCTCTAGTGGTGTAGTGGTTAAGGCATTGGGCTGCTAACCAAAAGTTTGGTGGTTCAAACCCACCAGCTGCTCTGCTAGAAGAAAGATAAGGCACTCTGCTTCCGTAAAGATTTACAGCCTTGAAAACCCAGTGAGGGTCTCTATGAGTTGGAATCCACTTGATGGTAGTGGGTTTTGAAGCCTTACTTAGTGTGTTGTATTTTTTTTTTCCTTCTGCTCCTACCTTGAAGGGTCCATCAACCAGATGTTTCCCTCACCACACACCACGCAGAGCCCGCCTCAACCCAGACACACTCAGTGGCCTACAGCAGCCATAAGAGGAGAAGGCAAGAGGCAGGTGGAAGAGCAAGGTGGACGGCTGCTGGGCCCTGTTGCCCCCCAGCAAGCCCTTCCTGCAGCCTTGACGTATCACACAACCAGACCAGGTGCCCAGGCACCCTTGTTCCCTGGTAGCCACAGCCTGACACGTGCGGCTTGCTGTGCTCAACCACTCACACAGGGGCTGAGCTGAGCACTTAACCATTTGCGTCACCCAGGGGTTCCTCTTGAGTGGGACACATGCACTAATACTGCCTCGAGTGTGAAGGGGATGGGATGACATTATAAGCAAGAGTGCTTGGGGACGGGCCACGTAAGCACGAGCTGCTCTCCCAAGGCTGACCGGCCGGGAGGAATGGGACTGCTCACTGGGGGATGACAGCACTTACACTCGGGTGTATGATCCACGCACACCACCCGTGACCGAGGAGGCCTCTCAGGCAGACAACCCAGCCTCTTCACCTGTTCCAGGCAGCAGTGATGGGACCGACAGCACCTAAGACCAAGGACGCCCTTTACTGCCCGGAGCTGCCAGCTCCCCAGGAGCCCCCACAGTGCCTGCTTCTCCCCGACGCCCTCCAGTGGTGACAGAAGCCGGCATCTCCTTTCCAGTGCACATCGCACTCACTGACTCATAGACACGTGCAGGGCATTGCCTGTGGCTGTCAGGGTTGTGCACTGCAAAAAGATGCACATCTCACTGGCATCAGTCACACCATAGGGTTGTTGCCTTCAAAGCTAGGAGATTTGCATACTTATTACAATTTCTCACTGGACTGTTCCTCAGATCCATCTCTAGGTGGAGATCCCCCGGCTTCCTCTGTTGTCCCTGCAGCAGCTACTATGTTGGCTGGTATTTTTCTGTTGACCTGTCCATTCTGGTTCACTACATGAGCCCCTAATGACTGTGAGTGTATTTGTTTTACTCTGTTTTGTTTCATCTCAGTCATTTTTGTGGCCCTACCACCTAGCATAGTGCATGGCACAAAGCACACAGGAAACAGTGTGAACAGATGAGTGAATTCATGAGATCAGGGGCAATTCTTTGGAGAATGGGAGACATAGTATTGAGCAGTTACTCTTGGTCACCATGGAGCTACTTCACTGGGCCTCCTGCAGGGCAGTCCAACTAGAGACCCCAATTCACTGTGTTGCCCATTGCAAAATAGACAATTTGCCACCATCTACAGTGTCTGCTCAACGGCACACAACAAGAACAACAACACAGTGTCTGCAGATCAGCACTCTTGAAGGTTGTGGTTAAAACTACTGTAGTGCCTAAGGCATCTGACTGCTAACCAGAAGGCCGGCGGTTCAAACCCACCAGCCACTCCTTGGAAGGAAGACTGGGTGATATACTTCCATAGTGATACTGCCTCAGAAACCCAAGGAGGGGTCGTTATGAGTCAGATCCAACTTGATGGCACATAACAACAACAGAGTCAAACATCAAAAGCTTTGGCCACCATCTGCCTCTACCCTTCTTAGCTGAATGCCCTCTCCCAAGTCAGCCTCTGAGCCTCAGCTGCTCATCAGAAAAATAGGCACAGTGAGGCCACCAGGCCCCCCAGGATGGGGCGATGCACCCAACAAGCCCATTGTGAAGGGATGTGACATGCAGAGGCGGGTTGGCACCTCCTGATGTGGGCAGCATCAGCACCCTCGCCTGCCCCTCCACCCACCGTGCCTGTACCTGTCCAGGGCATCCCTTGGGTCGCCTCGTCCCTCTTGCCCACAGTAGCAGCCATAAGATTCAAACTCCTCTGGGCACCGGGACGTCAGGCAAAAGAGCATCTCTCCAAGCTGTAGCATCCCCTGCGTGTGGTGCCCGCTGTCCAGGTGCAGGAAGGTGAACCTGTCACAGGCTGAGGAGAAACCGTGATTGACAGGAAGCAAGGACGTGGCCCCCAGCTTCCTCAGGAGGGGATAGTGCTGTGGATGGCATGGCCGTATGGGGAAACCCGTGTCCTGTGCCTCGTATCTGTTGGTGAAAAGCTTCTTTGGCAAGCCCTTTCTCCCTGGGCTTCTAGGCCTTGGCCCAGACACCATGTTAAATCCCCTAAGGAGTGGGGACTTGGCCAGAAACAGTGTTCCTCAGGCCTTCCCATGCACGCACACACACACACACACACTCACAGATACACCGCCAGGCCCTCCCCCCACACATTTAACTGTGAGTAGAACACTGTCTTCCTGCCCCAGGCCCTGGCGGGCAGCATCCTCAGGGAGGCCTGGCTGTCCTCTTAGGCTTCCTGGCCCAGTTGGGAGGGTTGACTTGAGAGCAGATATTGTCTGTGGTTTTATTTCTCCTCCTCTGCCTGCAACTGAGGTAAGTCAGGCTGAAACCTACAGTCCAAACCCCATCATCTTAGAGCCAGCAGGAAAGTACTGAGAAGTGAGAGGCATTGGTACGGGTCCTGGCTGAGCCATCTTCCCGAACCCTGCCTCCTCTGTAGCGCTGCAGTGGACGTGGAAGGCTGGCTCAGAATTTACAAGGCCTTCCACTGTTTCCCACCTGGCTCTGCTCCCTTGTGGGTGCAGGCCCTTTTCTCAAGACCAGAGGGAGGGGAGGCAGTAAACCGTGGTGTGGACGATGCGCAGTGTTTCTCCTCCTGGTGAGTCAGAGTAGTGACAACACCAGGTCGGAGGACACTGGGTCCTTCCCCAGGCTCAGCCTCACCTAGCTGAGCAGCTGCAGGCAAGCCACTCCCCTCTGAGCCTCCACATGCGCATCCAATAAGAGAGATGCTAGCTCATAGCCACACCAGAAGGAGGAGGTCACAATGCCATACCTGGCGTAAAGGGCTTCATTAATGACCTACCCAAGGGATGCCAAGGCCAGGAGCGGGCAGACCCTCCTGCTCACCTTGTCCCATTGTCTCCTCAGGACCACTGTTGAGGGATGACACAGCCAATCCCAAAGGCTGAACGCCAGCAGGGCCAACAGTGACACCTTTATCTGTGGCAGCCATCTCTGCAGACCCTGAAAATGCACAACTTTCGGTCCATATTCAGAAAGGGGCTCAAGCACAGGGTTGCTGATGGACAAACGGTCAGTGGCAGATGGGGAACCGCAGACTTGAGGAAAGTGTTCCCCAACCTGGAGTTTGCAGCATCAAGACCAGCTCTCAAGCATGAATTCTACAAGGGAGTTTTCTGATAACCTAAAGCAGGAGCTGTTCTAGACCATCGGATAACCTCATGGATGGGAACCATCACAGCCTCTCAGGGCTGTGTTTGTGTTCCATTTAGTGTCAGACACCTGCCAACTGAAGGCCATTGGCATCATGGTGGTGACAACAAGTGGTGAGGTGAAAGGAATGGGCAATAAAGTCAACCCGTGGAACACGATGATGAAGGCAAGCCAGACTCCTGCTGGAACCCCTTCACTTCCTTTCTCATCATACTCAGGTTCAAGTGCAAGGTCTTTCCCGTGGCCTGCTAGGCTGCATGTGGTCTGGCCCTGCCTCCCTTCCGACTTCATCTCGTCTTCTCCCAGCACTTCCTCGGTAGCTTTCCACTTCCCCTTCTAACTGGAGGCAGTGAAATATCCAGCCTGCTCTGGCCCAGGCAAGAAAACACCTGTTGCCTCAGCCTGCCAACCTGCCGGCCCTGAGTGCTGGCTAAGGCCCGGGCGTCTCCAAGCCCCTGAACTGCCTGCTGTCTTTCCCCAGCCCCGCCATGCTGCCTTGCCTCATCCATCTGCTCTTCTGCCTGCTCGTGGTTAATGTCCTAGTTCCTGGGACTAAAGCCCTGCTGTCCCCTCCGTCTCCTAGGTCACCCTGCCCAGTTCTCAATCCTGCAAATAGAATCCGTTTCTTTCTGCCACGCTCCCAGCTGCCGGAAACTCACCAAGTCTGGGTAGCTGAGGACAAAGAACATTTTTAGAGCAAAAGAAATTGGAGTTTCCGTTTTAGCTCAGACACATACCAGCTGCTATAGATGGTCCCACCTGGGGCAGGTCATATGGCCCCTCTAAATCCCAGATCCCCCATTTGTAAAATGTTATGAAAGTACCTCTCTTGGGGTTTGGAATAATCTTTCTAGCCAAGAAGCAGCAGTCAATAGTAGCCACTAGGATTGCTCTGGAATTAAAAAAAACACCTGCTTGAGAGTTAGAGACCCTCCAGGTGAAAGCTTCTGGATGATGAAGATTCCAGAACCCTGTCTGCCCCCTGCTGGGACTGACACTCTTGCTGGAAGCCCTCACCCCTAAGGAAAAACCTTCTAGATTATTGGTGCTAATTGGACTTGTGCGCCCTTTGAGGTCTCTGGGTGGTGCAGTTTGCTCTCGGCTAATGGTTGGCTAACGGCCCTTCAAACCCCATCCAGCAGCACTGTGGGAAAAAAGCATGACAATTGGCTTCCATAAAAGATTATAGCCAAGAAAACCCTATGGGGGACTTCTGTAACACACGGGGCACCATGAGTCGGAATCAACTGGAATGCAATGGATCTGTTTTTGTTTAGTTTTATTTTTTACTCCCTTTAGATGAGGGCCCATTGATTTCCCTGCCTGGGCAGCCTCCTCATTAGAAAATTTTCCTTTGGCTGGATTCCCTTTCACCTCCCACCCCATTAAGGACACAGGGCATTTCTGGGCAAAGGCTTCCCATCTCAGTAGCCTCTCCTCTGGCACTGATCCCACTCCTAAGTCATTTGTGTTGTTGTTGTTGTTGTTTGCCGTCGAGTCGGCCCCGACTCATAGCGACCCCTCCTTGGGTTTCCGAGGCAGTATCACTACGGAAGTAGGATTGCCCAACCTTCCTTCTGAGGAGTGGCTGGTGGGTTTGAACCGCCAGCCTTCTGGTGAGCAGTCAAGTGCCTTAGGCACTATGCTACCAGAGCTCCTTCCTAAGTCATTTAGGATCTGGAAATTCTGTCCAGGTCTGGCCAAAGGCCCCACAGTGAGGGGCTAGCTAGCCTGGCCGAGACCCAAAGGACCACTTGCTATTTTCATCAAAAGAGAGAAGGAAAAAAGAGATGCCCTTTTTTGCCCATCAAAATGACCACAGGCTTTTTGTTTGCCTGTTTTTAAGTAATAGTATTGGAAGGAGCCCTGGTGGTACAGTTAGGCACTCATGTGCTAACTGAAAGGTCAGTGATTTGACCTCACTAGAGCCTCCATAAAGTCTGGTAGCATAGTGCCTAAGGCACTTGACTGCTAACCAGAAGTCTGGCGGTTCAAATCCAGCCACTCGTCGGAAGGAAGGTTGAGCAATCTACTTCCGTAGTGATACTGCCTCAGCAACCCAAGGAGGGGTCGCTGAGTCAGGTCCGACTCGACGGCACACAACAACAACAACAGAGGCTCCATACAACCTGGCAACCTGTTCCCATGGAGAGCACAGACTAGGAAACCCATGGAAAAGTTGTACTCTCTCCTGGACGGTCGCTATGAGTCAGAACCAACTCGATGGCACCCAACACCTGGTGAGGCTGCGGGGACAAGCCCATAAGGGGAAATCAGTTCAGTTTTTCTCCAGGGCAATTTGGCAACATATCAAGAGCCCTACAATGATTCTATCTTTTATCCAGTAATTCAGCTTTTAGGCATCTATCTTAAAAAATTAATCAGAAGTGGATAGGCATAAAGAAAGTTCTTATCTATTATTTATATTGACAATGTTCAAAGTAATTAGTTAAATAAATTATGTGGTCTCATATAAGGAATTATTAAACCGCCCCTAAACATCATGCTACAGAAAAAGGTTTCATGGGGTGGGAGCATCATCATGTCTTACTAAGTGACACAAGGTGGACTGTATACCCAGAGCCACCACGTGATCTCAAGTCCTGTTCCTTTAGGTCCCCAGAGGCGCTGGGGGAGAAGGACTATGAGGAAGTGTCTTTACATGTCGATCACGTTTGTCTTTAAATTGTGGGATTACAGATGACAGGAAGCCAAACTTAGTTTTCAGGATTTTTTCTAAATGTATCTCTTTACCAGATATGCTTCTATTTCTTCCTGATAATGGGTCTGTCTTTTGATTTCATGTATCCTCCTCTTTTTCAAATAATTAGCTTCATGGGTTTCTTTCACTTTTGAATTTAGCTTCTTTTCCCCAACTCTCCTTTGGAACACAGGAGCTCTTGTATCTATGTGATCATATATCTGTATAGTTAACCAGTCACCACCAAGAGGATTCCAGTGCAGGGAGCCCCTCCGAGTTTTAGAGTGGGACTGTGCCCCGTAGGGCCTTCAGGGGCTGCTTTCTCAGAAGGAAACCACCAGGCATGTCTTCCCACCCACCTCTGCTCTGGGTGGACTCGGACTTCCAGCCTTACGGTTAGCAGTTGACCATGTTAACTGTTTGCACCACGCTGAGACTCCCATCAATGGATGGCAGCAACAATGGACAGAAAGGCAGGAGAAGCCACAGGGCACTTACCTGGAACAGATGTGGCCCTAGCAGCTTCAGTGACTTCCAGATCCCGGCCGGGCTCTGCCCCCGAAAGAGGAGAAGAGGGTGAGCAGCCAATCCCGGCCCCTCCCACCTTGATTGCCCCTGGCAGCTCCCACTGGGGGCCCCTGCCCCCCCCCCCACCCTTGTTGCTTTCCAAGGAAAGCTAGTGATAAGTGGGGCATGGCTGAGCCAAAGCAAGCCCCAGGCACAGGCTTGCCGCCCAAATGCAGCTTCAATTGCCGGGCTGGAAGCAGAGTTCGCTGAATTTTAGGAAATTCAGCGTCTCCAGATCTTTGGGCTGAAAAGGGGAGGGGGCGTGCAGAAATGAAAAGAAACTCCTGTTTCTGCAGCAGAGGAGAATGCAGGGTGTCTAGTTACTTGCTCTGTGATTCCAGACACCTCAGTGTCTGTCTGGAGAATGAGTGTTGTGTTGTCGTTGGGCTGGTATGGTGGTTGTGTAGTTTAGCAGCTATAGTGGTTAAGACACTTGCCTGCTAACCAGACGGCTGGCGGTTCAAACCCACCAGCCACTCCTCGGAAGGAAGGTTGGGCAATCCTACTTCCGTAGTGATACTGCCTCGGAAACCCAAGGAGGGGTCGCTATGAGTCGGGTCCGGCTGGACGGCACATAACAACAACAACAATATATATGGAGTCCCCGGTTGGTGTGAATGGTTAGCACCTGGGCTGCTAACTGAGAGGCTGGAGGTCGGAGCGCACCCAGAGGCACTCAGGAGAGAGGCCTGGTGAGAGCTGCTTCTGAAAAGCAGCCACTGAGCTTGGTGGAGCCCAGTCCTACTCTGACACACACAGCGTGACCACGGGTCGGAGTTGGTCCCACAGCATCGGGTTTGCTTTGTTATCTGTGCTGATTGATATGGGATGCGTGGTGCTTAATGACAAGCACACTTAGTGGTTAATTCTTCGGAGGAGGTCTTCCCTTGGCTTGTCTAGGTAAAAGAGTGCTCTCCAGAAGTCACTATGGTGAGGGAAAGAAAACAAGTGTGATAGCTGCAAGTGTGGGGTGAAAGACCCATCAACAACTTGCTGGCAGTGGGGCCCAGAACTCTGAATTTCCCTGATCCTCAGTTTCCTGTGTTTTCTGTAAAATGATAGCATTTAAGCCGGGCTCTGTCAAAAAGTGGTCACCAGAAACCACACGCAAGTATTTAGGTGGCATCTGTCCACTGGCTTCCGTGCCATCCTCTTCCGGGATCCCATCTGCTCACTTGTCCTTGGGTGAGTGGTCAGTCTGTCCCCTCTGGCCTCTGCAGCCACTGTGGGAACAAATCGCTCAGCTCAGTACCCCGGCCAAGCAGGGAGCATTTAAAATGCAACAGGCTTGGGAGTCTACAGGCTGAAGAGAGAAGAGGCCATGACAACACGGGCACAGCGGGGCTCACTTGGTTGGAAAAGAAAGGAGCCCTGAGCACAGTGGTTAGGCACTTGGCTGCTAACCAAAAGGTTGGTAGTTCAAACCCATCAGCTACTCTGCAGAAGAAAGATGAAGCCGTCTGCTTCCGTGAAGATTATAGCTTTGGAAAACCTATGGGGCACTTCTACTCTGTCCCATGGGTTGCTATGAGTTGGAATCAACTCTACAGCATCTAAGGACAATTCCAATGACTAGCGGGTGACCCAATCATGAGACGATGTCTGGGCTACCCGCCAACCTTTTCTGCTCACCTTCTCCTGAGAGAGCTGTCAGGCTGTCTGTGGGCTTCTCAGGAACCTCTGGAAAAAGAGAGCCCCAGCAGCAATGAGTGATGCATGTGAGTGTCAAAGCCAAGTGCAGGGGCTTCTGGGAGAACAGTCTGGGAGTGATGGTCAGTGAGGAAGGGGACCGTGAGAAAAGCTGCCAGAAAAGAGCAGCTCCTCCTATCCCAGGATGCCCCTGCCTCTCCTCCATGGGGAGCTCAGCAAGGGCCCTACTCAGGAGGGACCCACAGCAGTGCTGGCTGCTGGTGGAGAAGGTGGACACCATTGGACACAAGCTGAAGGACCCGAAAAGGCTGCCAACCCCAAAGGTCTGTGCCCATGGGGTATGGTGAGCAACTCGGAAAAGCCCTCTGCTCATAAAGAGGCAGGACGACAAAGGGAAAAGAACACTGGAGTCGGAAGAGACACAGATACTCATGTGCACATGCACACATGTGCACACACTCATGCACACATGCTGCATCCCATGCATGTGCACACACTCTCACACAAACATGCCACACAGCACATACACACAGGCACAAACACACACACACAAAGACATCTATACACGTGTGCACACACATATGCATGTGTACACACATGAACATGGTACCCATGCACATGTGGACATGTTTGTACACACATGCACATGTGAACACACACGAATATGCACATGTACAAGTGTGCAAGCCATACACACATATACACCTGTGTACAGACACATGCACATGTGTACATACACATGCACACGTGCACAAACTCCTCCTGCACCCATGTACACACACACACACTTCCACGTCAGCTTCCTCTAACAAACACTGCAGGACTCATTCTGGAAGAGACCTCAGCCCCAAGAAAGGGAGATGGGCTGCCTAGTTGTGCCTCCAACATCCCATTGCCAGATGTCACAGGTGTTGAGACTGTTTGTGGGAACATTGGTGATCAGAGTCAGACACATAAGCTTCACCCCACTTTTTTGTGTGACACCCGACTTACAGGTACAGACCTCACTTCTTAGACCAGGGGACAATTATGAAGAGCAGACCCTGTGCTGCAAAGAGACATGTGGACAACAGCCTCCTATTCCCAGACCCTTCATCTCTCTGTCAGACCCAGGCTGCCCCTTTTCTTCAGACTCTGGAGGGCATGTAGGGAAGGGTGGAGGGGGAAGGCAACAGGCCTGCTCTTGGGAGGCCCCCACTGCCCAGAGCACTTCCTGGTTGGAAGGTGCAGGGCTCCTTGGGAGCACCAGGCCCTGTCCTGGTCATACTGCAGCAGGGCACACCAGGCCTGTGACTATAGGAGAGATACAGAGAGGAAGAAATTGGGGTTTGCACCCTATCTCAGGTCCCAGGGTGGTAAGACAGTCTGCACTTGGCTGGTAACTGAAAAGTTGGCTGTTCAAACCCACCCACCAATAGTGCAGAAGGTCCAGGCCTGGCGGTCAGCTTCCAAAATGATTACAGCCAACCCTACACTGAAGCCAATGGACTCTCTCAACAAATAAATGCCTGCTATCTGACTCAGTTCAAGCCCATCCATGTAGCAAGGGCCAGGGTTTGCACTGGGGCCGTGAGAGTGTGCGTGTTTAAGTTGGGGCTATCAGAAGTAACCATATCTCCTGGCAGGGGCAAGTGGGACATCTCTGGTTGCTCCCATGCCCAGTGAGGCTGGCTGGGTGGAGGAGGTGTATCCATTTCCCATATCATCAGTCTGGCCTCCTGTGGCCAAGTAAGAGCCAGCTTCCCCAGGGGGCCTTACCTACGGGCAGGAGGGTTGTCAGCTCTTTCCTGCTGGTTATCTCTGGAAAACAAACACACTGGAAAAGTCTGCTTGGGTGGTGGGTCTGGGAGCAGGTCACGGGGTGCTGGGCTTAGCATCTGAAGTTACTTATTTATGGCTGGCCCTATACCAGCTCCCGCCCCTGCTCATCAACTCCACCACTGATGCAGGGCCCCATTCTTCCTACCTGGAGTCTGAGCCAGACAGAATGACGTATCGAGGTGGTTCAGAGAAAAGTTGATGCTGGAATGAGCCAAGCACTCTACGGCAGCTTTGTCACAGGTGCACAGGAGGTGCTCACAAGGATCCCGAGACTCTACACAGAGCAAGAGTAGAGCAGGTGGGCGAGGTGCTCTGAATTGCAGATCTGCCCCACCACAAGCTCCCTCCTCCTCCGCCTCCCCCATCTCATTAATGTCAATGCCATCTTTTCGATTGCTCAGGCCCTCGGGAGTCATATCCATGCCCTTCCTCTCACACTCACACCCAATCCATCCGTTAGTCCTACTGGTGTCACTTTCAAGATGTTTAAAGTCGGACCACATCTTCCCATCTGCACTCTACACCATTGACCAAGCCACCATCATCTCTGCCTGGTTATGTAAATGGTTTACAAACTAGTTCCCCTGGCTTCCCCCTTGCTGCCCACTCCATTCCCGTTGTAGTCAGAATGATCCTTTGCAAACACAAACCATGTCTTTTGTTGTCAATGTCCAAAATGCTCCAATGACTTCCCAACTCAAAGTAGAAGCCTTGGTCTTACTGTAGCCTAGAAAACGTCACATGATCTGTTCCCCAACACCCCCTTTTCCTTCTCAAGCCTCACCCCTTTCCAGCTCCCTCATCACCCCACTTCCATCACTCTGGGCCCCTTATTTCTCACACACACCAGGCACCCTTGAGCCTCAGGACCTGTCCACCCGCTGGTTCCTCAGTCTCTATTGCTCTTTTCCCAGGTGTCCACACGGATCCCTTACTGCCTGTTTACATCTTTGCTCAACTGTCATCTTCTCAGGAGGCTTCCTGATCTTCCTGTTTAGATAGGAGCTCCCACCCCAGCCGTCCCTCTGCCTTTGCCTGATTTATTTCCCTCCACAGCTGATGTCACATACAACATCACTGTACAGTCATGTGAAAATCCCAGGTCAAGAGACTCCACAACTGGGTAGAGGTTTGTTGAATGAGTGAAGGAATGAATAAATCATGCTTCTGTGTTAACTGGGTACCTTCCCTAAGGGTTTACGTCCAATGCTTCTCCTCAGTCCTTCCCTGGTGTTCATACTCCAACCTGTCTATGTTACATGGACTTCAGGGTCAGTTTAACCTGGATTCAGACTCTGCCAGTTAGCAGCTGTGTGACTTAGGGCTAGTGACTTAGTTTCTCTAGACTTTCCTCTCCTTGTCTGCAAATGTGAATTATGGCTCCCATTGAATAGGGCTGTGTAATAGGCTGTGTAAAAACTGAATTTTATCCACCCCCCCAAAAAAAGTACGTGCTAAAACCCTAACCCCTGTTCTTGTAAATATGGCCCTGTTTGGAGATAGGATTGTCTTGTGCTATGCTAATACACTCACGACAGAGAAGGTGGGTCTTAAACCTAATGTCAGTTATGAAAAGAACAAGATAGACATAAAGACACCCACATGGGGAGGACAGACCTGACGTGAGGGTCATCTACAAGAGAAAGAATGCCAGTGAGCTGAGGAGTCCCCGGAATGACTGACAAAGCAGGAATGGACACAGCGAGACCCTGATTTGGACGTCTACCCTCCAGAATGTGAGAAAATAAATTTCTCTTCTCTAAAGCCACTTGTTGGTGGCATTTTGTTATAAGAGCCCTAAGTAACTATGAGGAGCTCTGGTGGTGCAGTGCCTAAGGCATCTGACTGCTAACCAGAAGGCTGGTGGTTCAAACCCACCAGCCACTCCTCGGAAGGAAGGTTGGGCAATCTACTTCCATAGTGATACTGCCTTGGAAACCCAAGGAGGGGTCGCTAAGGAGTCAGGGCTGACTTGACGGCACAGAACAACAACAACAGGGTAACTATGACTAGCTGGTAGGAAGGTCAGGGGTGATGTGCATAAAGTCTCCAGCAAGTAACAAGCCCTCAGTAAAAGACAATGATCATATAGCACCCCCAACACCCATGATCCTTCTCCCCTATGGCCCTCAGCTCATTCTACGTCTTCAGCCAGGAATGCCCAGAGACATGATGTAAATCTTCCAGGGCCACACAGCTAGTGATGGCAAGCTGAGCCATCAACCTGAGTGTGTTTGATTCTCAATAAATAACAGCAACAACCCCTATGTGTCCATTACTATCTCCCCATCCATCTTTGAGTTATTGGCATACGCTGGTCACCATGTTAGCTGTTTTATAAGCGTTAGTAAGTTCAGTTCTCTTAGGAAATCTCTGCAGCAGGCTTGCTCCTGCCCATTTTGAGATTGGGAGAGGTAAATCATTCCCCCAATGTCACACAAGACACAAATAGCGAATACCTGTCCTTCCTATATTCTCACAGTCGCTGTAAGTGTCGAATTGCTAATCAAATAATCTACTGATCAACTGTTGTTTCATTCAGCCAACGTTCACGATGCATCTACTCCCTATAACGCATGAGCATGAATGCCACAAATGGAGCCCTGTGGAGCGCCAACTATTGACGATGACGTCGCCACTGGAGGTGATGACCATTGGCAACGCTAACCCTGGAGCCCTCAGTCTGGTCCAGCCTGGGGTCCCTGAGCTGACACTCCTCAGCCCAGACCTCTGGGCCTCCCGCAGGTGCTTACCACATGTGATACTCCTGCTGATGCAGTTGACATCTGTGGACAGCTTGGTAGGGACTTGGAGGCAGTCCATCTCCGCAGCCTCCTCGTGGCACTTGCGGTGCTGGAAGCAGCAGCTGGGCAGGGCAGGGCAGGGCAGGGTTAGGGTGTGGGTCAGGGTTAGGAGAAAGGCAGGCAGTGCACGGTCACCCTGCGGTGCAGTCTGGGAGGCTCCTGGCTGTGGTCTGTTTCAAACATTCAGTGCCCAGGCAGGTGGGTGCATGCGCACACATGCACACACAGGTACACACTCATGCACACTCTGTCATCTGCTGTTTTACATGGTTGCAGCATCGACAGGGAACTGCCAGAAATTCAAGCTGGGTTTAGAAAAGGACATGGAATGAGGGGTATCATTGCTGATGTCAGATGGATCTTGGCTGAAAGTAGAGAACACTAGAAAGATATTTACCTCCATTTTATTGACTATGCAAAGGCATTTGACTGTGTGGATCATAACAAATTATGGATAACACTGCAAAGAATGGGAATTCCAGAACACTTCATTGTGCCCATGAGGAAACTGTGCATAGAAAGAGGCAGTCGTTTTAACAGAACAAGGAGACACTGCATGATTTAAAATCAGGAAAGGTATCAGGGCTGTATCCTTTCATCATACTTATTCAATCTGTATGCTGAGTAAATAAGCTGCAAACCTGGCCGATATTAAGAAGAATGTGCCATCAGATTGGAGGAAGAACGTGACATCTACAATATGCAGATGATGCAAACTTGCTTGCTAAAAGTGAAGAGGACTTGAAGCACTTCCCGAAGATGGTCAGTATGGATTACACTTCAACATAAAGGAAATAAAAATCCTCACAATGAGACCAATAAGCAACATTATGATAAATGGAGAAAAGATTGAATTTTTCAAGGATTTCATTCTACTTGGATCCACAATTAACACCCATGGAAGCAGCAGTCAAAAACAAAATGACACACACACACACAAATCAAATGACATATTGCATTGGACAAATCTGCTGTAAAAACCTCTTTAAAGTGTTAAAAAGCAAAGATGTCTCATTGAAGACTAAGATGTACCCAACCCATGGTATTTTTAGTTGCCTCATATGCATGCAAAAGCTGGACAATGGATAAGAAAACTGAAGAAGAATGGATGTCTTTGAATTATGGTGTTGGAGAACATCGATTCTACTATGGACTGGTAGAAGAATGAACAAATCTGTATGGAAAGAAGTACGTGGCTAAATGCTCCTTAGAAGGGGGATGGCAAGTCTGTCTCATGTACTTTGGACATGTTAGCGGGAAGGATAGGTCCCTGGAGAAGGTTATCATGCTTCCTAGAGTAGAGGGAAAAAGAAGAAGCACCACAATGAGATGGGCTGACTCAGAGGCAGCAACGTAGCAATGGTTGTGAGGGGAGCACAGGACCAGGTGGTGTGTTTTGTCTTGTACTTAGAGTCACTCTGAGTTGGAACCTACTTAATGGCACCTCAGAACAACAAGAACATTTTACATGCTTTACATCCACACGGGTGACACAACGGTTAAGTGCTCACCTCCTAACTGAAAGGCTAGTGGTTCAAACCCACCTGCTGCTCTACAGGAGAAAGACTGGCAATCTACTCCCATGAAGATTGCAGCCTAGGAAACCCTATGGGACAGTTCTACTCTGTCCTATGGAGTCACTATGCCTTGGAATCGACTCTACATCATACAACAGCCAGACTACTGATTTGTATCCTGGTTCCACTCATTATCAGTGGCTGAGCCTTACCTGACCTTGGACTTACTTGTCCTCAAAATAGCTTTATGAGGCAATTGGCATTGCCATCCACCACCAAGAAAGCTGAGTCTCAAGGCTTAGAGCTCATAAGAGGACTTTGTGCCAGGGACTGGTCTAAGCTGTTTAGCTGTGTGAACACACTGGATGTTCATCACCATTCTACGAGTGAGGTGAGGCTATCCTTCTTTTATAGATGAGGAAGCTGAGGTGTGGAGGTTGAGCAACCTGTCCAGGGCCTGCACAGGTATTTGGAGGCTGAGCTGGGCTGGACGCCAGGCATCCAGGCTCAGGGCCCAGCTTCCAGCATGACTGCCTTCCTTGCGGTAAGTGACTGAGTGGGCCGGAAGCCAGGGGTCCCTGCCTCCACAGCCTGTGCTGTTCTCCTGCCCTGAAAGCATCAACATGGCTTTGTAGTTGTGTCCTGATGATCATCCCCTGAGATAGTGTGCTCCTTCCTGGATGCTGGTGCCATCATCCGGGCACAGGAGACTGAGAGTAGGGGAGGCTGGTAACAGCCCCTGGTGCCCTGCTAAAGCTCAGATTCATGGGCAGAGGTCCTGCCCCATGGTCCTGGAGGAAAGGGGGTCAGAGCGTGCTGGAGATGAGGAGACTCGGGCATGGAGACAATGGAGGGCCCTGATACTGAGCCTGGGGCGCTGAAGGTGGGGCCTGGCCTGAGGACAAGGCAGGAGCCCAGGAAATTCTCAGGGGACACAGATCAGAGCCGGACCTGACTCAGGCTAGCCAAGGAGCAACTGAACTCAGCTTCTTCTCCCTCCTCAGCAGTCATGATGATAGTTCTTATTGTTATAGCAGCTGACGGGTGTTGAGTGCTTACCGTGGGTCAGTCTCTGCTCTAAGTGCTATGCAAGTATGAACTCACTTAGCTCTCACATGGGTCCTCTGCCCACTACCAGCATTTCTATATGTGGACATGGAGGCCCAGAAGGCTCTGTAACTTGCTCATGGTCAAGGTCGGTCCAAGAGCAAGGCTGACCTTGAATGTGGGCAGTCAGGTGGCACCAGTAGTGTAGTCAGGTAGGCAGTGGAGACAAATATAAAGGAGAAAAAAAATTCAGGCAGAAACCTTGAATAAGCACCACTTCACTTATAAGAAAGGATCTCTGGTGGCATAGTGCCTAAGGCATTTGACTGCTAACCAGAAGGCTGGTAGTTCAAAACCACCAGCCACTCCACAGAAGGAGGGTCGGGCAATCTACTTCCATAGAGATACCTCTTTGGAAACCTAAAGGGGGTCACTCTGAGTCAGAATCAACTCAATGGCAGTGATTTTGGTTTTGGTTTTACTTAGAAGGGGTGCAGGGGCAGTGGTGGCTTGGTGGTAGAATTCCCACCTTCCATGAGGGAGACCAGGGTTTGATTCCCGGCCAGGGCATGTGCAGCCACCACCCATCCACCAGTGGAGACTCACGTGTTGCTATGATGCCTGGTATGGGTGGAACTGTGTCCCACAAAACTATTGTTGTGAATTCTAACCTCTATGCCTGTGGTTATAATCCCATCTGGGAATGGGTTATCTTTGTTAATGAATAGGGTTAGTGCATGGTGTTTCTTGGATCAATCTCTTTGGAGATATGAAAGAGATTAAACAAGCAAGCGAGTGAAAGAGATGAGGTAAGACAAATGCCAAGACACATGGAGAACTGTAAGGAATCAGGAAGCAGAAGTTGAAGAAACAAGGACGTATCTCCAGAACAGACAGACAAAGCCTTCCCCTAGAGCTGGCGCTTTTACTTATAAGCGCTCAGATGTCTAGCCTTCTGAACTGTGAGATAACACATTTCTGCTGCTTACAGCCACCACCTGTGGTGTTTCAGTTATAGCAGCACTAGAGACCAAAGACAATGCTGAACAGGTTCCAACAGAGCTTCTAGCTAAAGTGGACCAGGAGGAAAGGCCTGGTGATCTCCTTCCCAGACTCCCCGTGGATCCCAACGGCCCAACCTGCAGTTGGTCACGGGGATGGTGCAGGGCCAGCAAGGTTCTGCTCTGCAGTGTGTGGGGTCCCAGGGGTTGGGGTGACTCAATGGCAGGTAGCAATGTCAACTTACAAGGATTGTTTGGCTTCAAGAAAACATCAACAGGCATACCCCGTCTTATTGAGCTTCAGTTTATTGCATATCACAGATACTATCTGTGGTTTTTTTTTTTTTTCCACAAATTGAATGTTTGTGGCAACCCTGCACCCACCTAGTCTTTTGGTGCCATTTTTCCCACTGTTTCTGCTCATTTTGTGTCTCTGTGTCACATTTTGATGATTTTCATGCTATTTCAAACTTTCTCATCATGCTATTGCCCACTTAATAGAATACAGTCTAATGTGTTGTTGTTGTTGTTATGTGCCATCGAGTCAAACCCGACTCAGAGTGACCCCTCCTTGGGTTTCCGAGGCAGTATCACTATGGAAGTAGGATTGCCCAACCTTCCTTCTGAGGAGTGGCTGGTGGGTTTGAACCGCCAGCTGTCTGGTTAGCAGGCAAGTGTCTTAGCCACTATGCTACCAGAGGTACAGGCTAATGTAGACGTACCTTTTATATGCACTGGGAAACCAGAAAATCTGTGCAACTCCCTTTATCACAATATTCGCTTTATTGTGGTGGTCTGGAACCGAACCCACAAAATGTTGTGGTCTGCCTATACATAAACCCTGCCACTCTGTAGGCACTCAAGAAATGGGAGATTTTGGTTTGGACTCCGGTATGCAAGTTCAAATGACCTGTCCTCTAGGAGTCTGGAAATCCTGTCCCGTCAATGGAACCGTGTAAAGTTCTGAAGCCGGGTACGACCTACCCACCCGTCAGATTATTGATGGTTGGCCTTCCGTCATCCTTTTTGAATTGGGGATAATGATGAATTACTGCTTCATTTCTTTGACTTCTGGGTTTACAGGGTGTTTTAATGATTAAAGGGAGTGGGGAGGGAGGACCTGGCAGGGAAACACATTCCCAGAAATGGCCCTGACACCATGCTCTGTGGCCTCTGGATGCCGGCGAGTCTGCTCATGTCTGCATGCTCATGGCCCTGAGGTGGGAAACTGACCCCTCACTTGGAGGGCTACAGTGGGCAGATTTGTTTTTCAATTCCAAAGCCTTTGTTCCTCGCCAGCCAAGGGCATATCTCTTTTTAATTAATTAATTTCGCATCCCTGAAAAGCAGGTGCAGGGCAATGGACCGCCCACTCAATCAGTTCATTCACTGAGCTCCTGCCAGGTGTCAGGAATGCTGGCTGGGGCTGGGAAAACAAAGAAGGACTACAGTATGGACTCTCTTTGAGGGACATGGAGTCCAGCAAGGTGGCAGATGCTGCGAACACTCAGTCCCCAACATGGAAGGTAGGGGCGAGGGAAAGTGTTTGGGGAACACAGAGAGGGTTTGCCCAGGTGCCTAGGAGTCCAGCCTGTAAAGAAGGTGTCCTGGCAGAGAAAGGCCAGCGTGGCTGATGAGCTGTCGGTATGTTACACAGGGATGCCTTCCCTCCCTGCGTGAGTCTGTGTAGGCAAGAGCACACCCTCCATCCTGTGGCCTTGGGCACAGGCTAATAGTAGCCCATCACCCATCTGTCAGTGTGTCATACTGTGATGGCCTGCGTGTTGCTGTGGTGCTAGAGGCTATGCTGCTAGTGATTCAAATCCCAGCAAGGCCACCATGGTGGACGGGCTTCAGGAGAGCTTGCTGGCTCAGACTCGGGGGAAAGACCTGAGGATTGGCTTCCCAGAATCAGCCAACGCAAACTACAGCTCACAACAGAATCCATCTATCTGATGCAGTGCTGGAAAATGGGATCTCTGGCAAGCGAAGGTCTTTTACACACAAGGTCACTGGGAGTCAGAGTGACTCCATGGCAACTAACCACATAACACCAGTGGGTGGGGCCATTGTTCATGGAGTAGACTTGAGACCTGGAAGCCATCGCCTGCTTCCATTTACCTGCTGCTGCCACTGTTCCTACTACAGCTACATGACTACCACTACTGCAGCCCTACGCCTGCTGCCCCTGTTCCTACTACGGCTACGTGACTACACTACCACAGCCCTACACCTGCTGCCGCTGTTCCTACTGCCACTACTACTGTTCCTGTTACAGCTGCTCCCCAACCCCACTACCATTACTGCTGCTCTGACTGCGGCTGCTGTAACTACCCTACCTGCCTCGGCTGCCCATGCTGTTCCAGCCCCTCTACGGTTCCTCCTGCTGCTACCCTCATTTTTATCTTTATGCGACAGCCCGACTGCCACTGCTAATGCTGCTGCTGCTGTCGGTACTGTTACTTCACTGTTCCTACTGCCACCAATTACTAATCCTCCTGAGAATTTAATAAGCCAGGCAGAGATTCAATCACTTGAACTTGAAATTGGTCATTTAATCCTAAATAACAACTCCATGAGGTTGTTATTATTACCTCCATTCCATAGATGATGACACCAGAAGACAAGAAGTTAAGAATTTCCTCTAAGAATGAAGAGTAAAAGAAAGTAGGGAATTGGAATTGCTGGGTTGTAGGAAATGGGCCTTACCATTTAAACAGATACCATCCCATCTCCCTGGGAGCTCTTGTGGCACAGTGCCTAAGGCACTTGACTGCTAACCAGGAGGCTAGTGGTTCAAACCCACCAGCCACTCTTGGAAGGAAGATTGGGCAATCTACTTCCGTAGTGATACTGCCTCAGAAACCCAAGGAGGGGTCACTATAAGTCAAATCAACTTGACAGCAGTGAGTTTTGAGTTTAGTTTACCACATTTCCCTAGTTGGTGGATGTCCCAACTGACCCTTCTGTTCCCAGTCCTATTCACTGTACCCTAGCCAACACTTGATGGATGATTAGCTCTTCTGTTTGACTGTCAATCTGCAGGCTCTTGGGTGTCAATCTGTATTCCCCTTGTTTGCAGGAAGGTCACACATCCTACAGGGCACTGTGCTTTTCTGCATTTCTCTGTATTCCCCACCAGACCTTTACCTCCTTGAAGCAAAGAGAGTGCTCTGTTTATCTTGGGACAATGTTCAAACACGATTGGTATTTGGTGTGTGTCTGTTGAACATTGAATAAAAACCTATACAGTTTCTTCACCCTGGCGGCTATTCAGGCTATTCATTCAGGACCACTCTGAAGAAAACTTAATTCCCAAACTTCATTATGCTTAGGAATCACCTAGGGATCTTGTTAAAAATTCAGACCTCCAGGTTCTCCTTAAAGGTGTTCTGAGCCAAGGGGCCTGGGAGGGGTTGCAGGAATCAGCATTTTAACAAGCATCCAGCTGGTTCTGAGACGAGTGGATCTAAACTAAGAAACACTGAAGTGGAGCTTTGCATCTCAGAGGGCACATTGGATCTTGATAACTCCTGAGAAGTTATCAAGATCACACATCACACTTCCATTTGAAGGATGAGGAAACCAGTCCAGTCACCCAGTGGTGAGTTATTAGTATGAAGACACGCCCTGAGCCCCCAGGCAGAGCATTTGCTATGTCCACACTCTGCCCAAGGCATCTCCCTGGCCTCCCGTGGGCTTCCCTTTGCTCTTGCTCACCTGTTGATCTTGCTCACCTGTCAGCTTCGTCCACAGGTGGCCCCTCCATCTCAAACCGACAGGTGCAGCCATAGTCTTCTAAGTCACGGGGGCAAAGGCCAGCCACACACTTCATACCGTTCACAAACTGGAGCAGAACAGGGAAGTTGGTAAAGACGGCCTGCAGCCAGGTGAAGTGCGAGCCCAGGCAATCTGCAGAAGTGGGAGAGAGCAGAGGCTGACGGGCCTGGGAACCAGCCCCCAGGAGGGAACGCTGGCCCTGGACTGCCTGCACCTGGATTGACAAGGTTGCCTAGCTCATAAGGCTTGACATACTCTTTGCCATTAACCCAAGTGCCTACTGTATACTCAGAACCACTGTGGACCATTGAAGGAAGCAGGCTGACAGGCCATGGTCCCTGTTGGTTACCAGCTAAGAGCCATTTCATCCATTCTTCCTTACTGACAAAACGGAAAACTACTCAGGCAAGCCTTCTTCCCAGATCCCTGGAGATGTTTCACGATAGTTCTTAGCTTCTCATGGTAAGTCCATCAGACCTGGCTCACAAAGTTTAAGGGGAGTCTCTTAGGCACTTCTGGGAAAGATATCTTTCCTCAAAAAGGAAGAGAGTTATGTAAGAGAGAGATCCTTTTTTGTCTGTATTTTTCTTCTTCCTAGGGAGCTCTGGTGGTGTAATGCCTAAGGCATTTGACTGCTAACCAGAAGGCTGGTGGTTCAAACCCACCAGCCACTCCTCGAAAGGAAGATTGGCCAATCTACTTCCATAGTGATACCACCTTGGAAACCCAAGGAGGGGTCGCTATGAGTCAGATCTGACTCAACGGCAGTGAATTTTTTTTTTTTTTGGAGTTTTTTCTTCTTCCTTAAATGTGGGTGAGGATTTGCTGGCTGGAACTTCAGCAGCCAGTTTATAACCATGAGGCCCAGGCCAAAAGCTGATCATACAACATGCTCGGGGAAGTGGCGAGGAAAATAGCATGAGGCCTCTGCTCTCTGATACCCGTGTTAGGCCACTGCACCAATCCAGGTGCCTTCTGACACAAACAATTGTGTTTATTTTTTAAGTCACTGTTACTTGGCTGAATATATCCTAAGTGCTGCAGTCTGGAGAGTCTATAGTCCAGAGACTGTAAGTCTGTGTAGAAGAAGAGGCCCAGACATGATATCTGAGCCCTTACTGTGTGCCAGGTGCTTGGTGGATAAAAGCCATTTCAGATTTAACTTACCAAAGATTTCAGCCACATCTTCCACATTTTTAAACACCCCACTGAAGAATGTGGTATCTGAGTAGAAGACAGAATGGATTAGTGAGTTTTATTTCCCTTCCTGCTAGCCCTGCTCACCCCTTGGGTAAAGTGTAAGTGAAACCCTTTCTCTTTCTCTAAGGGAAAATTGTACCATGCTTCCTCTGTTTCCCTGGAAACCTGACAAGGGTGAAATATAAACTGTTACTAGGCAACATTGCTCAACGGTAAAAATGACCCCTGGTTGGCAAGGTGTATCTAGACTGAGAGGAACTATGGGTGTACTGTAGATAGACTTTCAAGTGACAGGTTGTCACTTTGGGTCTCCCTGAGGGGGACATCTCTTGTAGCTGGCCTATCTCCTTGAGCATCCTGAAGCTGTGACTCCAGATACCGACACCTATGGAGAACGAAGCTCCTAGGCTGGTGATGCCCCTGGGCATGTGTTTCTTGGCCTTCGCCCTTCTAAGTGCCAAGTGTGACCCAAATTAAATGTCTGGTTGAAGAAGACTCCCTGTTGGGCATTGCACTTCCCATAGGGGTTAAGCCTTTTGGGGAGAGGTTACTTTGTCCTGGGGTCTGGGTGGAACTCACTCAGCTCACATAAGCTCACTGAGAAATCATTTGGTTGACTCAACTCACCTCTCTGCTGAGGATGCTACACCCCTTGGTTCAGGGCCGACATCAGCAGCTAGTGCACAGCCCATTGTATTCTTTAGGGACACCACACAAGACCCACCTGACAGCCCTTTAAACCTCAGCAGAGGGAAACTTTCCTCCTGAAGGAGCATGTGCGGTTCTTCTTCCTTACAGGCAGAGTGTCACAGTACAACCCTATCCCTTTCTGCCCTGGCTGCCAGGGAGCGCAAAGCTCCATTTGATGCTAAGATACAGTTCCGCTGTCAACACTCATTCTAGCATGTTTACTTCATTTTCCTGATTTCCTCCTTTGCCTAATCTTTGCCTTTTTATGGGCGCTTTCAGCACTTTGTCATAAAAGAGTGACCAATGGTAGAATCTCAGGCCTCATGAGAGTCTCTCAGGGGAGAAGACTTTGAGTCCCACTCAAATCACTTTACTTAGAAATGCCACCGCAGTAAAAGTACACTCAGAAGGGGTCTTTTTCTCTGCCAGTATCCTTGACAGCCTTCTGCCTGGCTAGGTGGCCTGAGAAAGTGGAAAGGATGCTTACTGATATTTGCTGAGAGTTCTGGAGGCAGCTCC